ATTTATAATGTTACAAAAGATTTATATTTCAAATAAATGTTGCTCTTTTGGTCTTTCTATTATATCAAAGAATCCTGAAAAAGTCAGTTTCCACAAAAACATTAAGCAGCACATCTGTTTTCAACATTGATAATAATAAGAAATGTTTCTTGAGTACCAAATCAGCATATTGGAATGATTTGTGAAGGTAATGGCAGCTAAAAATTCAGTTTTTATGAACAGAATAAATTACATTTTAAAATTACTTCAAATAGAAGACAGTTGTTTTAAATCACAATAATAGTTCATTATATTACTGTTTTGGTCCAATAAATGCAGCTTTGGTGAGCATAAAAGACTTCTTTAAAAAAAAAAATGTTTAAAAATCTTACTGACACCAAACTTTTGAACAGTAATTTTTTATTATTTTTATTTTGGGGTGAAATATGGCCTGAGCCGTGTTTCTTATCAGTTCTTGAGGGGTTTTTTTTGTCTCTGGTTCTCACTTTTGTTTTGTTTTGTTTTTTTTTCTCATAGGGATCCAGCTGCGTAAGGTGCAGGAACAGCGGGAGCAGGAAGCGAAGAAGGAGCCAGTTGGGAACGATGTGGCCACTATATTATCCCGTCGCATCGCCGTGGAGTACAGCGAATCTGATGAAGACTCTGAGCTGGACGAAAATGAGTGGTCAGACTGAAACATTGAAAACAACAATAGAGGAATAAAAAAAAAAACCATGAAGTAAGAATTAGAGTGTAGGTTTCAGAGAACAGAATAATCACAACTAATGTAGCATGCCGATGTCTGTCTGCACTAAAATAACACGGCTCCTGTGTTTAAAAAATAAGGGCTGCGTAACTACAAAGTCTCAAAGAGACCGAACCAGAAACTTTTGAATTTTCGATTGTACATCTTAAACTGAAGCCTTGACAGTGAAGTTTAATCAGAGTTTTGACCCCAACAATGTCTAACTAAAAATGTTAGACATCTGATATTTTTTCTGCAAGACTGGTCATCATTTTTAAAAGTCAGTTACATAAACACATAGATTGATCTAATTTGAAACTGAAAAGTAAGACTGATAACCACTTGGTTAACTAGTTCTTAAGACAGTCTTAACATGGTGACTATGTTTATGCAACTGGCCCCTGCTTATCTACAAAGTGGGCTTGAGTTCACTGCCTTGACACTATTCATCAATTACTCTGAATGTGGGGGTCCTACCATCTGTCCTCTCTACTGCACTCTTTCTCTCACTCTCACTAACTTTAGAACATGGCCATATTAGAACAGCCAGCTGGATGATCATGCAATGTTCATTTTAGTCCTAACTTAAAGGTCAGACAAAATAGTCGTAAATGTATTTGGGGCTAATATATTAAGCATTTACCTAAACATTTTCATGTCTAAGCCCAAAGAAACAGCTGCATTTTGATATCTTGAATGCATGTTTGACCGAGTATCAAGCAGATAACAAACCAGTTGAAATTACAATTGCAAGTCAAAAAAGCAATATTATAGAGCGATTTGCTCCGATAGAGCACAAAAACACACAGTAGATGATTAGTTAGATTTTCGTTTGTTGATTAAAATTTATAAAAAGTTACTCATGTTTGCATTCCAAGTATCGCAGCTTATTGAATAGCATGGATGGACAATCTGAATCTGAAAACTGTATCAAGGGCGTGTAAGAAAAATTACAATTCTGCTGGGAATATAACACATTTTCTGAATCTAAAGGATGGTGGGAGGCTTAGTGGTGATGTTTTATATACTTTATTGGTGACACTATTTCCCCAAATGTGATTAATTTAAATAATTGAACCCATTTTGATGGGTTGGAATGATTTTTAGGGCTTCATTTGCTTTCTTGGCTTCAAGTAAAAAGATACTATATTGGTGCATTCTGAATCCACCAATACACAATAACAAATTGTGATTGCTGCTACCTGTATAGGCAATTACTTGTAGTGCAACTGCAAAAGACAACAGAACTGGGCTCTTATTCATCTATAGGCTCATTAAACACAATACTTTAATACTCTGTTTTGAGGTTCAAGTGGTGCTGTGTTAGTAGTCAGAATCTCTTTCTTTGTTTTGTTTTCCTCCTGGTCTTTTCAGGGATGGAAGAAAAAAAAACTCCTAGTTATCTGTGTCTTTTTAAATGGATACAGTGCGTGGCCGTCTGTCCCCTAAAGGATCAAACCATTCGCTTGTCAGTCATCGCACTATAACCACAGTAGATGTCACTGCATTGTTACCAAGGCAACAAGCACAGCATAATTAAGCAGGCAACAATGAAGACAGCTGTGCTCTTACCTGTTTGACCTGGTAATGTGTACCCATAAACACAAATAGAAATTAACATTGTGCACTGTAATTGATGAACAGCTGGTTTGGGGTCTTTTTTTTTTTTTTTAAGTGTTGTTTGCTAGTGTTTTTAATTTGGAACCATCTTGCTCTCTGAGGCATTTGAAATACTATATATGCTAATTTGTACAGAATAAGAGCACTTACGTATTTTAGCTTTTATTTTCTATTTATTTAGTTAAATGTGTCACTCACTGCACAAATAGGGAGCCTTCGAGTTTAACCTCTCCCAACTTAACAGCTATCATGAGCTGTGTTTAACCTGTGTTTTGTATGTAAAGAATGAAGTCCTTTGTGTTTTAAACAATGTGATGTATAGAAGTTTGTTAAAATGGCAGAACTTTGAATTATATAGATAAGAAACAGTATGAAAATCAGTGTATCAAAAAAAAAAACCCGCAATATACTGTAAGCAAATGCTGCATGCATGTATGGAGTGCCATTAAAGTGCTTCTTAAAATATTCCTCAGTGTGGTTTGTGGTAGGGATGTGAAATACTATATATGCTAATTTGTACAGAATAAGAGCACTTACGTATTTTAGCTTTTATTTTCTATTTATTTAGTTAAATGTGTCACTCACTGCACAAATAGGGAGCCTTCGAGTTTAACCTCTCCCAACTTAACAGCTATCATGAGCTGTGTTTAGCCTGTGTTTTGTATGTAAAGAATTAAGTCCTTTGTGTTTTAAACAATGTGATGTATAGAAGTTTGTTAAAATGGCAGAACTTTGAATTATATAGATAAGAAACAGTATGAAAATCAGTGTATCAAAAAAAAAAAACCGCAATATACTGTAAGCAAATGCTGCATGCATGTATGGAGTGCCATTAAAGTGCTTCTTAAAATATTCCTCAGTGTGGTTTGTGGCAACATTTAATATTTCCATTTCAATCTATTTTTAAATCATTTAATTTTATATACTAAGCTCAGATCAATAATGGGCAAAGGTACCTTGGATTTTTGTGATTTAATTATTTGTTGGTTGCTTTCTATGATCAAAGGAACCCACCTGTGATCATAGAAAGCCTGTACGTTTTTTAAAATTGTGATTTCCAGAAATCAAAAAAAAAAAAAAAAGTAATGGCAATTCATTAAAT